GGTTCTAGGGAGACATTAAAAAAAAAAAAAAGAATTGTTTTGCCGGTGTGCTGGTGATGTTTTCCTTCTGTGTGTTCCCTTTCACTTCAGTGTGTGTCAGGAAGAGGGACTTGGTTTTAAAGGAAAACTAGAGGAATCAGAACAGGACCAGCCTTGTCTCTGTGAAGCAGGTGCTGCTGCTAAGCCTGTGAATTGAGAGGAAAAGAGCCAGAGGGTGGGAGGGGGGAGAGAGAGGAAGGGGCAGAAGAGAGTAAAGGAAGAGAACATTAACTTTGCACTGAAGGGTGTGAATTCTGTATTTTTGATGTCCTAATGAAGGTGCAAAGCTGACTGGCATACTACACTGCATTTGGGCAAGAGCATGGGAGAGTCCTTGTTGAAGAATAATCCAATTCAGCAGAGGAGCTGGGGCTTGAAACTGGCAAAGGGATTTGGGGGATTCACATACAGTCAGAGGATGGTGGAAATGTGGGGGAAAGAATATACAGTCATAAAAGGAGAGAAGTCTCTCAACTTACTTTCCTTGAATGGAGAACAACACCAGAGATTATTTTGTAAATAATCAGAAAAAAAACATACATAGGAATTCAGAGGTTTAGTGTCAAAGTAGCATACAACTGATTTAGCTAAAAAGTATGTATTAAGATACACAGTAGAAAATTCTGCTAGAATAGGTGTTCTGAATGAATGAGGAAGGTGAGAAATAGCATCTCTCACATGCATACCCTCGTTCTCACCACTCCTGACTTTCACCTGTATTCCCTCCTCTGACATACTGCAGGTATGTTTACTGAAGTTACAAAATATGCCAGGGAAGGGTGATCTTCTAGGATAAAATATCTAAGTGAATCAGTGAAAGTCTAAATCCATTGCTGCCCAACCTATGGCATTTACTCCTGTGATGTCTAGGGGTATGGGTGCACTGAACTTGTTCCAAGTAGTGACATAGGACTTTGGCATTCTTGTAAAACAGTGTAATGGAGTGGATAAATGGAGCAGTGGTTGGACAAATGATTATCAATATCCGTGGAAAGAAAATGAAAGATTCTGAGATCTTTTGAGGACAGAAGATGGTGGAGTTGGAAGGCACAAAAACAAGAAAGAAGATTTATCTATGCTTCCTTCTTCTATGGTATCCCAAACCATTTAACAAGAATGTAATGAAGTAAGATCACACCAGAAAATTCTGGTAGAGTATAGTTTGATGAGTGTTTGCCTATATATTTATTGGTGTAACCACTACCCACATCATTTCCAGCATCCCAGGAAGCACACTACGGACCCTTCTTGGTAAGCTCTCACCCCCAACCCTGCCCCGGGCTCCGAGATAATATTATTCTGACTTCCATCACCAAAGGTTAATGTTACCTGCCCTTGAATTTCATAATTCAAGAATCTTAGTGTGTAAATTCTGTGTCTTGTTTCTTTCACTCATCCTTACATCAGGGAGATTAATTTATGAAATTGCATTTTTAAAAATTGTGTAAGTAATCCATTGCATGATTATGTGACATTTATCCATTCTCCTATTGATTTATGTATAGGTTGCTTCCATTTTTGTCTATTATTAGCAAACCTGTACTTATCCTTTAGTGTGTGTACATGTGTCATTATTAATTGTAGGCAAACACCAATGAGTGTAAGTCACTTAATTGACTGTTGGTTTCTACACTGGAGAAAAATCTTGTGAAGACAATTCTGAATTCTATTTTCTGTCTCAAAGAGTATAATAAGGTGATGATGGCAAAGAGCTAACACTATTGTGTCAGGTCCTCTGCATACAAACATACTCACATTTCCTCCTTATGACCACCCTAATTTATGCACTATTATTTCTATTTTCCAAATAAAATATTGCAAAATACAAAACACTATATTCAGAGACAAGACATGCAATGTGGACATGGTCCTTCCCCTTTGCAGATGCATGTGGCTAAGTGCTCAGTGCGTGGAGCTATGAGAAAAGGAAGAGGTGGAAGGTCACCCTGTGGAAGGGAGGCTGGAGATAGGTCTGAGGGGATGGGATGCTCTGATTGATGAAAAGTGTTATATTCCAGGTGTATAGAACACGTGGAAGAAGTGAAAATAGGAACTGGGCTTTACTTTGATGCGTGTGTACGTGTGCATGCATGTGAACACATATGTGCACGTGTACCCTGAGAACACGGGAAGAGATAACAGTGCAGTGAGCCATCCATCTAGAGGAATAAGTAGTGTGGAATTTAGAAGAGTCTTCAAATTTCCAAACATCGTGTTTGAACTTTAACCTGTAGGGAAAAGAATGTCATGATGAGAACAAGATTTCATGAAGATCAACCTCGTACCTGTATAGAATTGGTTGATAGCAGGAAAAGCAATGAAAGGTTTCTGTAAGATTCAAGGAACAGCCACTGCCATTTAAATATAGGAAGTAGGGCTTCAGGAGAAAAGTCAGGATTGGAGATAATAGCTACCTTATAATGCTAAAAATAATATAAATATTTGCATATTTATTATCTGTGGCTGGTGAAGTGGGCAGAGACGAGTGATCTCCTTTTATTGATGAAGAAACTGAAGATAAAAATGGTCCAAACTCACCTGCAAATATGGAGACTTGAACCCAAGTCTGTGGTTTCACTAGATCAGGTTGCTTCAACATAAAGGCGATGACTGAGATGGGTACACACGTGGCCCGCATGATTTAAAATGCAAAGGGTCACTCTGTAGATATGGTCTCTGTGAACTGCAATCTCTACCCCCATCTCTAGATGTTTCTTTCTCAAAGAGGAGACCACATGTCATTACACCCATTCTTACAGGAATAAAGTGCCCCGGGAAAATATGCTTTTTATTTACACAGCTTTCTCCCATGACTGTTCCATAGAGAGAAAGGTATCTAAAGGCTTGAGATACCAATTTTCAACTATTTCCAACTTGGTATAGATTTTTTTAAAAGACTAGACATCAACCCCAAATAATTCACTTTCATTTTCTAACATGACTCAAGGTTCTTCAGGAAGTTAGAAAGGATTTCAAAATGAGAATAAATTACATACTACTCAAAAGCAGGAGGGGTATTACTTCCCCCCATGTTTTAAATATATATGTGTGTGTGTGTGTGTGTGTGTGTGTGTGTGTGTGTGTGTAGTTGCTGACGGGCCTTTATTTTATTTATATATGGTGTTGAGAATCAAACCCAGTGACTCACACATGCGAGGCAAGCACTCTACCACTGAGCAACACCCTAGCCTCTTCCTCCATGCTTTGACTAATACCCAGGATAAGGAAGGCACTCAAGTGTTTGCTGAATGAATTATTGTGGCCCATAAAATCTTGTTTGGGGTCTTAGCTCCACATTAGCAGATTGATGTTTAGAGCATCTCACACATGTTAGTTTCCTTATCCACTAATGAGAGATTGGAAGTAGTAGATCATCTGGTAGTTTCATGCCATTTCTCACATTCTAGAATGAAGTGTGTTTTCCTGGTATTAGTCTGATTATTCAATGGCAAATCACCTTGTCTATGTATGCTTCATATCTTTTAAAATTTTTTTATGCTAGAAAGTGTTAAAAAAAAAGGAATCGTGAAGTCTATGTTCTTCTTAGGAGATGAATGAAGATGGGAATGAATCTTAAAAGGTCATTGGCCCGATACATCTTTTTTGCGGTAGTTTGCAGTGCTCATGGCAATATAGCTTTGGTTGGTTTTTGGGTATGTCAAGTTTAAAAACTAAACTTATATTGAAGTACTTTTGTTTATTTTTTCATGGTAAACAGATCTTTTACTCCTTAAATGTGACCTTAAATATGGCTGATTCAACTAGATTGAACTATTCAACTATTCAACTAGATAAACCTTGTGAAATGTAATGCACACCTTTTTTGTCTATTAATGTACACACATTTATGTATGTTGATAAAGTTGCAGCAGGTAGATCAAGGATGTAATTGTTTATAAAGTAGAGGTCCTCTGAAAAGGGTAGTGAATTAAACTCATATGTGGGAACTCCACTTAACAGTCTTTATAGCACATAGTATTTAAATCAGCATTGAAGAAATAATGTTGGCAGGACAGACTTTTGAACAAGTTATTGGTTATCACGTGTAAGAAAGTTAAACATCACATTCCAGCATTTCCCTTTTCTACCACACAAATATCATTTTTCTACCACTGTTTTCTGCACACTGTTGGCATCTTTAAAAGGCAACATTGCCCAACTCGACTGCAGACAGATCTTCATGGGCTTTTGGTGGTATTCTTATTCCTTAGAATACTTAGGCAGGGGGCTAAATATTTACCCTGCTCTGCTCCTGATGAGTTAGGACTGACCTAGCTCACATTCAGGGGTATTCTTTTATTGCTTTTTCACTTGTTAAGGATGCTTTTCCATTTTTCTCACATATTCTCCCAGATCTCTTCTATTTTTCTGGATCCTTTAAAACCATAGTTGCAACATGTCTTTGGTCTAAGTCTGCTTCTTCTATCAACTATAGCATTTCCCAAATCATCTTTTTATTGGTTACTGTAGATAACATTTGTGACAGAAATGAAAGGAAGAGGCAAAAGTTAAAAGTGAAAGTTCTGCTCTCCTGCTTAACGGTATGAGACACATTGACTTTATTCTTTATTGTGTATCTCTATCTATCCATCTATCTCTGTCAATGTAACATTTTTTTTTACTTTGCAAAGTCAATGTTAAATAAAAATATACACATGTGCATTTATCTTAGCACTTGCTTATCCAACGGACAAATCCAACTAACATTGGGCACAAAGAGATATGGATGGGACAACCTACATGCATAAAATCACTAAGGGAATTTGCATCTAGAAAGACACCCCCCACCCCATCACCACCAACCACACACACACCTGCTCCCGGAAGCGCCCTTTAAGGTGTGTGCCTTTCCCAAGGCATTTGGATGATAATGCGACAGGGAAGAATTTGCATTGCAAAGAAGAATTTTTTAAAATGCGGTGCAGATAGTTAATAGCCGAGAGCAAGGCTCGTGCAGGGGGATGCAAAGGAGGAGGAGGCGGGAGCACTGACAGCCAGCTGGGGGCTGACCTGATTCCCTAGAATCCTCAGCTCCCTTCCTCTTCCCTCCCAGCGTCCTTCCTTCCCTTTTTTCTCGCCCTCTCCCCCCTTTTTTCCTTTTCCCAGATAAGCTGCTCCGGGAAACAAAGAACTCGGGCTCTCCGGACAGCAGCGCCGGAACCGAGCGCTCTGCCAGCGGCTCCTCGTTCCGGGGACCAGGGCTCCCCGGCTCTGCATCCCTCCCCAGCCTCCCCCGCCTCCCGCGCTCGCTCGCTCGCTCGCTCCCTCCCCGCTCGCTTCCTCCCCCACCATCGCAGCGCTGGGAGGAAGGCGGCTGGGGCTCAAGATGGCTTTAGCCCGGCTCTGCGCCCTGCTCGCCTGCTGCTGGGGGCCGGCGGCGGTGCTGGCCACAGCCGCCGGCGACGTGGATCCATCCAAGGAGCTGGAGTGCAAGCTCAAAAGCATCACGGTGTCGGCGCTGCCCTTCCTGCGCGAGAACGACCTGAGCATCATGCACAGCCCCTCGGCCTCCGAACCCAAGCTCCTCTTCTCGGTGCGCAACGACTTCCCGGGAGAAATGGTCGTGGTGGACGACCTGGAGAACACCGAGCTGCCCTACTTCGTGCTGGGTGAGTCCCGGGGGAGGTCGAGGCGGCCGCAGGCGCTGGACCGGCGCCCCCAACCCCCACCCCGGCTCGCTCCACACACCCACTCGCCGGCGACATCCCCACCCCCACTCCTACCTCCCTGGATCCGCCCCACTCCCGGACCGTTCTCCACACCCACTTGCAGGCTAGCGCCTCGGTGCACCTGACTTCTCCCCAGATCCGACCTGGGTGCTGGGCCCTCGGCCTCTCCTCAGCCTCCAGCCCCAAAGGAACAGGTTCACGAGTGAAACCTTTCTCAGTCTTGCCCCTCCTGCTTTTAATTCTGGAGCACAGCCGCACAGCACTTCTGGTCTGCCACAGCTCAACTCCCATAAGCCCTTCTCCTCGCTCCCTGACCACATGCTCAGCTCTTGCTTCACACCCCTCTGGACACCCACAGCCACCCACAGCCATTCCCGGGGTTTTAGAGGAAGGTATTCGGTCATCACCTTGTAAGGCATGTGCAGGCCCAACTGCACCAGCTGTGCCTCTAGTCTTCAGTCCCTGACAGCCCTATGTGTCACCAGGTTGCTGACACCTTCCTTCCAAATACTCAAGTTTCTTAGAGTGTTCATCCTTGGGAGGTCCTACCTCTTTGCCTAAATGTAACAACCCCCTCACTCAGCCACCTCCACATCTCCGTGTGTCATCATAGTTCCTTGGATAAAGAAATCACCCAACTGTGCTCTATTAAATTGGTTTCTTTGTTCCCAGAGCTGCCTTAGAGAGGCATAGGCACCTGTGCACACAGAAGGACCTCCCCTGGCACGAGGCTCCTCTTTCCTTTATTTACATCTGTCTCTTTGGGTACCTTCCTTGTCATTTTCTTAGGCCATAGCACTCCTCAGGTACTGGAATCGCTCTATCACTTTGAATTTCCCCTCTTTATCATTATTGAGTCATAAAGCTATTGAGGTCCTGTTTCAACATCTTGCAAAGCACTACAGGTTCACAGGACTTAGTTCACCAAACCTCTCCACTTCTCCATGTGCAGATGTGTCTCTCACCCTGCTATGTGCGCCCGTTGCATATCTGTTTCTTTAGTGAGGCTGTATATATTCTTATTTTGCCCAGGAGAGAATTAAAAGAAAACCACAAACCACAACTCAGTCTCTAGATCCAAGGTGGTAAGGAAGAAAAAAAGAAAAAAAGGAGAAAGAAAGAAAGAGAGAGAGAAAGAGGGTGGTTCCAGGACACTGTCATATCTGCTTAATGCCCTACCTACTCACAGGGACATGGCTTCCTGACAGCCATATGTAGGTTGGAGCCACATGGCAAACTCTTGTCTCTCTCTGGTTCCCCCTTCACAAAAGATAGTAAAAACATTAGCAAGTGGGCGAGAAAACCCTTACTCCCAACTCCCATGGAAAAGTAATTTAAAAAATTGCCTGGTCCTTTGGAAAGTTGGCTTATAGTTCCTGGAGCGCACCTCCATTGAATCATTCAGCCCAACCTACACTCTTGATAGGATTATTTATTTTTACATTAAAAACATCAATAACATAATAAAAACTGGGGGCTGCATGAGAATGGGAACGTTGTGGATGTGGTACTCATTACCATGTACGATTGCTGGGTTATTCAGAGGATGTAAATTTTGTGTGGAAGTCATGCTGATGTCCAAGTACAGTCTGTTCATCATAATATATAGAATGAGTATGGAGAATTATGTGTTTCTAAAGGGGTTCTTTTGGGTTCTGCATGCAATGCTTATTGTGCATAAAGAAGGACATGTGTGGATGAAAAGAGGGAGATTTGACTACTAAGTATTCAAAATTCCACTTCTTTTTTTGCAGAATCCTAATGCTGGAACTGAATATCTTGATAGGTCTACCAGGATGCGATAGGCACTTTAGAAGCTCAGAGTTAAAGAATGGCTTTTCTGCACTTCTGTGCAAAGCTGCCCACTGCAGCACCCTGTTTGGGTTGCTATGGTAACCTAGCTGCAAGTTGGCATTTGCACATAGGCAACAGCACAGTTCTCTCACTTCAGGGCCAGGTGCACTTTTTAAATGCATCAATTGTCCCCTCCCCTCCTCACTAATGAGGTGTGCTAGAATTAGCAATATGCTGGTACCTATTAACCCTTGTGGCCCAATATTCCAAAGGGGAGCAAGGATAACTCTCAGCTTCATTGGTGGAGCCAAACTGGGCAGAAAGGGGGAAGAGTCCAACTTCATGGAGGGCAGACTCAAGGACAGGTGTTTTTGAAGTTAACTCCTGTGGTCCTGGATCCTGTCAATCATGGCCAACACAAAGGGCTGTAGTGACTACAACTCTTCACTTCCTCTCTCCCATGTGCTTACGCCATGCCTGGAGAAACCTGAATCCGTCACACCCAGGAATTTATTAAGCATGAACTTGCTTAGCTCTCTTAGGCACTAAGACAAAAAAATTAAAAAAATAAAAAGCTCCCACCTTCAGGTCCTCTCACTGGAGACACCCCATGCCTGCTAGAGCTGATGGTACATGATTGTGTAGTATGGATGTTAAGGAGTCTAGGAATGCTGAGGAAGGAGATGCTTCCATAATAAGTTTGTGTCTCCATAGAAGACGCGAACTTGACCAAAGGCTACCCCTTTGGGTGGGGGGAAAAATGAATATAGACAGCAAAAGCAAGCTTTGGCCTCCCTTTGTTTCCAGGATCAAGGCCCATCACTTCAATGAGGCAAAGTTTTTCTCAAAAGTTGTATTACAGTTGACTTTTCACACTTCATATTCCTCCAAGTCTGCCAAGGCTTTCCAGAACTCTTTGGAATCTTTGCATGTATTAATTCCTCTGCAAAGAAGGCTTCTTGTCTCTTCCTTACCTGGTGGCCATCCATTCTTCCTTCTGAACTCTGCACTCAGGTCACTGCTCTACGAAGCCTTCCCTTCCCTCCAAAGGTGGTCTTAGTCCTCCCCACTTCTGTGATCTCTACATGGATTAAAATGCAAAGCAAATGAATACAATTAAAGGAAGGCTGGATTTGGCTTGGACTAGGAGAGGTGAAGATTTGAGGTCTTGTTGGGAATGAATCTGAGCATGGAACTTGCATGCCTGTGGCATAGTGTGGAGAGTGCTGGTCCTGGAGAGGGGGCGTGGGTGTCCAGGCCCTCAGCCTTGTTACTTTGGCTGGTAGGATAATCCCAGGCGTGTGTGGGGGAGACCATGTCTCCTCTTCTTTGAGGTGGGTTTGTAAATTGTGGTGCAAGGGACATATGTGACTTTCGGATATGGGTTTTTTTTGGGGGGTGGGGTGGGGGGAGAGGGGTTACACATAGTTTTGAGTTGGAATATGTTGATGTAGGGAATGTCATCTTTCCCACAAATCCTAATTGTACTGTGTCTGACCCTTTTCTTTATGGTACTTATCTGACAACTCTAAGCTGAGTAATCTAAACACACATTTCAAGATGTGCTATAAAAAGTCTCCAAAGTATTGAAAAATAACTGCGGTTTCTAATTTTAAATACTTAGCTATCTAAGTCTTAGTATCCTCTCAGAAGTTTTTAAAGGCTTGACAGATTCATCAACTGAAGTTTCATACCTCAGCTTTCACAACAGTGGAATCTCCTATTTTGGAGGTATACTTGATTTTGAGACAATGAGTGACCCTGAAGTGGGGCCTCCAGATATTCTGTGCTGTGAACACAATGTATTTGTCAGTCTTGTTGCTATTCGAAGGGGACACCTTTCTGTTTCATACCCAACTATTGAGCTTTTGCATGCGTGAAACTCGGTGAAGAAAGCTATTTCTCTTGTGCCTGGGAGTTTTGCTTTAGCGGTCATGGCTTTTGATTGAACAAAGCATTCCTGAAGATAAATCAATCAGTCTGCAGAGGTGTAGTAAGTTCCCACATGCACAGTGCTGTTTGAAGTATCTGCAGCAGTCCAGTGTGGTGGTTTAGAGCACGGGCTATGAAGACAGATCTGGTGTCAACTCCTGGCTTGCCACCTGTTCCAACAGTGGAGGAAAGAGCAGATCAGGGAGGGTAAATGAATTACTCAGGGTCGCTTAGCTAGCAAATGATGGATCTATCACTCGAACTCAGGTCAATATCAAGTTGAGCCCTTTCTCTTAGCTACCGTTTTATATGCCTTAAAATTTCTCAAAAAATTGTTTTGTTTCATAGTTGAATAAAAGGAGTCCTGGAATGGTTAGATAGGGAAAAGAGTCCCTTATGGTGTCTATGCAAATACCTCTTGGCTCTCCTTGCCCATCCAGGGATTTCTCACACAAGCCTTAATGTGGAAGGTGATGTTATCAAAGAGTAAGTCACACAGTAGGTATATTTGCTTAAGAAGAGTGGATGTGAGGGGACTGGGGCTGTGGCTCAGTGGTAGAGTGCTTGCTTTTCAAGTGTGAGGCTCTGGGTTGGATCCTCAGCACCACATAAAAATTAATAAACAAATAAAGATATTGTGTCCATCTAAAACTAAAAGAATATTTTTAAAAAATTTAAAAAAGAAGAGTGGGGGTATTCTTATTTCATAATTACCAAGCTTTGGGTAGTCATGTCTCCGTGTTCCTTGGTGGTATATTGTGACACCCAGGGAGGTGACGAATAAGCTAATGTGCACAGGAGGAAGATCACATGTTCAGTGCTCTTCTGAGAAGGGCCTTCTGGAAATGCAAACTGAGAGCACCAGAGGGTAGGATCACAGAGCCATCCAGAGGCCATGCATGTCCAAGGCCCCTAATCTTTTCTTTTCTTTGAATTTTAAAAGTTTTTTTTTTATTAATGAAAAGTAAACATTATACTTATCTATTAAGAGTACATTAAGAAATAAGATTCAAAAGAAAAGCAAACTCTAAAATTTTACAAGGTATTATCTCCTTATAATATAGAGAGCTCCTACAAATAAAAAAAAAATTAAAAATAAACAACTCGGTAGAAAAGTGGCAAAGGATGTAAAGTACCTATTCATATCAAGAAAAACTGTAAATGTCTAATGAAATTTGAGATTGAACCTCACTGGTAAAGTAATGACTAATTAT